TGAAGCAGCATTTACTACACAGAGCCGTTGTTCCAAGCTGCGCAAAACATGCGCAAAATATGATCGTGGTTTGGCGCAGCTTGTCTGTGAACAACGGCTCTGTGTAGTTAATGCTGCTAGTTAATGAAAGCACGCACGTGTAGAGATTTACCGCTGATTACAGAACCGGCTTTACTGACGAGATGCACATTAAATATCGTGCGATATTTATCGTGCAGCCCTAACTTATACTCTTATATAATGAAAAGCTTTCAGTTTTAGTCTAAAAAAGGGCTGGTAGTGAATCTATTTGAGGTCTAACAAAAATCCTAGGTATTGCCTAATAATAATACTTAATGTTATTATTAAAAAATATTAATACAACTTTTCTATAGTGCCTTTAAAAGTTGCATCTCAAAGTTTGGAGATTGAGGACTTGTCCTGGAAACAAGCCTGTTATTTGGCTTGTTTAATACTTTGAGCATTTAAGTGATTTAAAGGTACTTCTATAATTTAGTGAGTAATGCCACAAATGTAATGACTAAAATAATGCATACAAAAAATTACAAATGTTTTTAAATTTCAGAACAGGGGTCATGCATGCATGATGAAGTGTATTTTTTATGGTTACCATATTTATAGCACCACCTGGTTTTCACATGCATTTGCAGAATCGGTCCTTTCACAGTATTAAGGTTTGAGAAAATTTGACATTTTGTTCAAAAACCTTTTTACTAAATTGAATAATAAAGCTATATGCAGGAATTATGCCTTTGCCATAACTGTTAATTATGCTGGGAATTCAGTGATTAACTTTTTTGACCAAAAATTTTTTCCTGCACTAAATTTGGCAAATATTCTTAAACAAAAAAGTTACGTAAGTCTTTTTATGTTTGTAATTGTTATTGTGCCACCAAGTAGCCAAACACTGAAATGTACTGTTTTGTTTGCATAGTTATACTTAATAACTATATACTTATAGTTATACAATTTTTTATTATTATTTATTTTTTTTATATCTCATTGCAATCAAGAATTAAGAAAGCCATTACGTAAAAGTATCCTGACATTTTGAATGGATTTGATGATGCTAAATTACAGTTGATCATAATTTTGATAATAGGATGATAAGATCCATCGGTGTAAACAGCCTAAAACTAGTTCACAAAACAAATACTGTGGATTATTCCTGGATGGAAGTGAAATCAGAGCGATAGATTGTGTTTGCCTCGATGCTACGATACCAGTTATGTAAGACATTCGAGTCTGAATCTTACTGCTGAGGAGTTTTGTTTTAGTTATAGTTTGCTGTTTTTTTTTTTTGTCCTCTTGTTCCCCAAAGACCAGATTTTCTGGGCCAAAGACATCATATTCTTGGTGAATGAGCATGATTTGATCGGTATGCAGGCCTGGCTGGAAGGCTACCACCACACTAACATCACAGGTGTGTACAGGTGAAGCATGCTGCTTTATTGGGGAATCAGAAAATTAAAAAATTACCTAATGACCCAATTTCATAATTGCACTCACTCTGTCTATTTTCTAGAATAAATTGCCGGTTCCGTCTGTGGTTATGCTTTAGCTTCTCACTTTTATTCAGGAATGGAGTACTCGCCGCTGCAGGGTCGCGCAGGGTCAATCCAAGCTGCCCTCTCATTGGAGCTCAGCAGTGATGTCATTACCAGCCTGGACCTGATTTTAGAAGGACTTAACGGTCAGCTGCCCAACCTGGACCTAGCCAACCTCTTCTATGCCTTCTGTCAGAAGTTAGGAGTCTTGTGCACCATTCAGGGAAAGGTAGACCTGCCATACAAAATAAAACAATCTAACATTGCATTGCCATTGCATTATTTACATTTTAATAGTGATTTTTAGCTTGCTATGCATCTAAGGTACATTTTAAGCCGATCATTTCTCACTAAAATTAGCATACAGTATACCTATTTTCTATGATAATAATAGCTCACCCTCCACTTGTCCCAAACCTGTGAGTTTCTTCTTCAAAAAATAAGATATTTTGAAGAATGTTGGTAACCAAAAAGTTGACGGTAGCCATTGACTTCCGTGGTTTTGAAAAAAAAAAAACGTCAAACTGTTTGGTTAACAGACATTCTTCAAAATATCTTCTTTTGTGTTCAACAGAAGAAAGAAACTCAGGTTTGGAACAACTTGAGGGTGAGTAAATGTGACCTGTGCTGGCAAAATGAGTCACAATGAGCAAATTTTGATTTGTGTGGTTTGTTGGAATCGGACGAAAAATGACTGAGCTGCACCCGTTTGATGCCGATAGAGTCAGCAAAGTCAATTTTACAAAAAAAAAAAGAGAGAAAGTTTTCTGAAGGTTCCAAAGCAAAATCACAGAGCAACGTTGCATCTTTTCCTCCACTTCTTTTCTTAATAATAATTACTATATTAATAATCACAATATAGCTATTTTTTTTATTTTATCTTTGTTATTAAAAATAAGAACAGATGAAAAAAAATTTGTAGAACAAATATAAGAAACAAATTATGCATCACCTTTTTCATTTTACATCTAAACAAAAGCATTCAAGTAAGAAAAACAAATAATCAAATGTAAAAATCCATTTTGTCTGTTAATTGCAAACAAATTGATTATTAAAACTACAAAAGCAGTTCAATCAAGAGCAGCAAGTGATTCCCTCTTTTCTTTTATTGTTAGATTAACATTAATGAGGCGGTCGATATTAAGAGCTACTGTAATGCACGGATCTAATATAATGTTACACATCAGATGTTTTTCCCCAACAGTTCCCCGAACGTTCACTTAAGACGTAACAGATTATGTTTGCGTGAATACTTAAATACTGTAATTCTGTGTATATGTGTGTATTTATCGGGATCGGATGATAGTCAGCGAGAGAAAAGGTACTCCTCTCAGAAAACGTACTAATAAAGGTAATTAAAGATCTAAAATGATTATTTGGAGCATTGGGATCGCTAGACGAGGGCTTAATGAACTAATTTTTGTGTAAACCACAAAATCGACTAAAATAGACATTTTTCACTTTTTTTTTGCCTGTAGCTCAAAAATTAGCCCGTGCGCATTCACACTCATTTTGCCAGCACGGGTCACAAATGATGACCGAATTTTAATTTTTGGGTGAACTGTCGATTTAAAGGGATAGTTCACCCAAAAATGAAAATGTGATGTTTATCTGCTTACCCCCAGGGCATCCAAGATGTAGGTGACTTTGTTTCTTCAGTAGAACACAAATGAATATTTTTAACTCAAACCGTTGCAGTCTGTCAGTCTTATAATGGAAGTGAATGGGAATCACGGATGATTGCAGTCTGTCAGTCTTATAATGGAAGTGAATGGGAATCACGGATCGCAGACTTATAAGTGCATTACCGCCACCTATCTCTCAAATGGACCATTGACACTCCTAATTGAGATTGTAGATAGTGTCAATGGTCCACTTGGGAGATAGGTAGCGGTAATGCACTTATAAGTCTGTGATCCGCAGTAAAGCAAGAAGAAGACGCGTCATGCGCCGGCTGAAGAAGACGCGAATGCGCTCAGGACGTGCTCAGGACAGTTCGGACATTGTAGTAAATCAGGGGTAAAAAACGATATAAATACTGTTCAGTTTCTTGCACAGACCGATCGTTTCGTGTCTTTACACATCAATGTATCGTCACGAGCCGCAGGGTTTTATTTGGTTTTGTGTATGTTTTTTTTGACTCTCAAAGCCGTGATTTCCATCAACTTCCATTATATGATTGACAGACTGCAACGGTTTGAGTTAAAAATCTCCGTTTGTGTTCTACTGAAGAAACAAAGTCACCTACATCTTGGATGCCCTGGGGGTAAGCAGATAAACATCAAATCTTCATTTTAGGGTGAACTATCCCTTTAAGTCATCACAAGCTAGCTTTGATGTAACAATCAGAATTACTGAAATGTGTAGTATAAAATTCATGGCAATTAATTCACACGGTGGGTTTTGTTTAACCAATTAGCCTATTAAATGTAAACATTAAAAACTAGCAAACTGATCCCAAACCAGTCCAAATTTGGTCCACATGTCTAACCAAATTTGACCCGCTTAATCAGAAGCAAATCTGCCCAATCTGGCAACACTGTTTCCACTGGAATTGGCTAGTGTGAGACTGGTGTTACATCTCAGCATTGTTGTTGCTTGTGTCGTAGCTCCAGAGGAATGACTGGGACACGGCTGAGGGCTACACTCACGCGGCTCAGACCATGATGCTGATGGTGTTGAAACAAGCTTGCGGACGGTCCTGGGGAGATCACGGCCTCTTCCTCCGCTATCACATCGAAGCCGCTTCTATTCGAGGCATCAACGGTTTCAGACACTACAAGATGGACGTGGCCACCATTGGCAGGTTGGTTTTGTATTACACAAGAAATCATCTGTGAGCCATTACCAGTCAAACACTTTCTGATCTTTGAATTCAGCCCTTCTCCTCTAACCGTTGTTTGACAGGTTGCTGGAGGGAATGGTCCGTAAGCTCAACAATCTCCTGGAGCGTCTTCACCAGTCGTATTTCTTCTACCTCTTGCCTTCTCTCTCTCGGTTTGTCTCCATTGGCTACTATATGCCGGCGTTTGGCCTCCTGGCTGTCATCTTACTGCTTCGAGTATCCTTTCCAGGACTGGATCACTTCACATTTTTTAATGCAAGAAAAAAGATGAAGTCAAAATCTAATTTAAAAACAATCAAGATTTTCCACTTTTTTTAAAGACTAAGTGCACAAGGAAGACAAGAAACTAATAAACAGAACTAATACAAATAAATGGGACTTGGGAGTATTGATGAACGAGTCATTGAAATCAAATATACAGTTAAAAAAAACGGTATATTTCTCTATTAGAAACCGTTCAGGATTATCTATATTGAGCTCAAGTCAGTGTTGTATTTTTAATTATTTTGCATTAAAAAATATGCAGTCACATTTACTATTTGGAAAATTTTTCTGGGAAAAATCCAGTGATTTTAATAGGAATCCAGTCGACTGGGAATATTGCATGAGAGCAAATTTCTCCACATAGATTTCGCAGTGGGTTTAAGTTGGTCATGGAGATTCACTGCACTCGAAAGAGACTTCTGTGTGTGAGCTGTGCTTCATATATTGCTGCTTTTTTGCCTTAAGGCTGTAGATCGATCCATGCATGTTTATAAATTGTTGAGGTGTAATTAATGACTTTTTTCTGAACAAAAAACCCCTGGGACATGCAGTATTTCATAATATAACACTACCAGACTCGGCTAATGTGTTTGTTAGAATCCTTAATGTGGCTGCAGGCGCTGGATCTCTGGGTTAATCTGGGAGCACCTGCTCTGGAAGCAGTGGATGGAGTTACTGAAGCAGAGCAAGTGAGTCTTGTGTTATTTAAATGTACGCCAAGTACACCTAAAGAAATTGGTATTTGATAAATGTTTTAAACGGGAGAGTGGGATCAGTTGTTGCACGCTTTGCTTAGGTTGTCTTCAAGGCAGTACAAGTAAAACTACACCTGATTCTCTTTCAGGATGTCTGTAATCAAGTAAAATTGCATGAAAGCATCTGTATCTTGGTCTGCATTACATCATTTGTACATATTAGATATGCTGTGCTTCTGAAATGTTGCCAAGAGCTGAAACCGTAAATAAATAAAGGTTATGGCATTAATAGCAAATGATAGATTGAACTGGAAACCCACTGCAAAATCAAACAGAGGTCTTGCTCCGTTTTGCTAAGAAATGCACACTTTATGATCCGATCAGTTCTTGATGAATACATTTCTGTCTATTTTTTTTTCGTTCTCATTCTGTTTCACTGTAAAATGTCACGTTATGGAAGTAAAATTGTTTAACCCTTGTGTTGTGCTGGAAATCCTTAACCTGATTCGGTCAAATTATATTTTCACCAAATCATAGATTCAATCTTTTTGTTAACTTTTCTTCAGGTTAGCACAGGTTCTGTATTTCATTGTAAGCGATCGATCGTAGGCCTCATTGATCTGAACTCATGCACCTCAGGTTTTTAGTGAACATTGCCACAATTTATCCACACACAATGCTTTTTTCACTCAAAAACTGAGATGCATAAACTCCGATCTATGAGGTCTACAATCAATCGGTTACAAATGAAATACAAAACCTGTGCAAATTGGAAAAAAATCCTAAAAATGATACAAATTCTGAAACTGTAGTGTGAGCAAAGCCAGTACGTTTCAGTCCAGTGCAATGACATTAAATAGCATTTTTGGGAAAAAGAAAATAATCGCCGAGTCAGAATGACTGAAACACAACATGAGGGTTAACTCTCTTTATTGTAATTAAAACAAATGAAGAGATATAATTAACACATTTGATTCAGTGATGGAAGCTCATTGCAGCTGTTCCTGCATAACATTTGTGAGCCTGGAGCACAAAAGCAGTCTTAAGTCGCTGGGGTATATTTGTAGCAATAGCCAAAAATACATTGTATGGGTCAAAATGATTGATTTTTCTTTTATGCCAAAAATCATTAGGATATTAAGTAAAGATCATGTCCCATGAAGATATTTAGTAAATCTCCTACTGTAAATATATCAAAACGTAATTTTTGATTAGTAATATGCATTGCTAAGAACTTAATTTGGACAACTTTAAAGATGATTTTCTCAGTATTTTGAGTTTTTTGCACCCTCATATTCCAGATTTTCAAATAGTTGTGTCTCGTCCAAATATTGTCCGATCCTAACAAACCATACATCAATGGAAAGCTTATTTATTCAGCTTTCAGGTGATTTATAAATCCCAATTTTGGAAAATTGACCCTTATGACTGGTTTTGTGATCCATGGTCACATTTGTTTCTCTGTTTCTCTGCAGCCGTCTGGTCCGGGCGTGTTGACCGTGTTGACCCCAGTGGTGATCAGTCACCTGACAGGTGTGGCGCTGTATCTGCTTCCTGTTCATCTGCAGGAAATGGCTGTGGAGCACTTCCCGGTGTCTGAAACCGAAGCTGTGGTGCTCACTGCTGTAGCCATCTACACCGCAGGCCTAGCCCTGCCGCACAACACACAGCGGTACACACAGAAACTCATCTGAACGCAATCTGTATGGTGTCAGATGTTTATTCGCCCACGTGAATCATGTGTCTGTGACAGGTTGCTGTCTGGAGAGGGCACAGAGCAGGGCTGGAAAGTGCTGAAACTTACGGCTTTGCTCTATCTAGCTGTGCTGTTGGGCTGCACAGCCCTCATTAACTTCTCTCTGGGATTCGTCTTAGCCGTTACACTGGTGCCGATCACCGCCAGCATGACGCCGCACATGCCCAAGTAAGCACACTTCAACAAATAATCCTTTGTCAAGCATGCTCTGAACATAATCAGAGTCAATTTTGGTGAAAATCTGAAAATTTATTGCATCACAAAATAAGCAAATCTTTTTATTGAAATCGAGAGACCCACTGGCCATTATAATTTTTTTTATATATATATTTTTTGGCCAAAATATTTTGAAATTGGACATTGCTTTACCATGAAAATGGTGGGTTTAGTGGGTTCATCCCCCTAGTGGACGGTGTCAGGTATCCTATTACAAAATTTACTACACGATTTTATAATCAAATCTTTTCCCAACCTTGACAAAACGTATAGTTGGAAAGGTCTGACATTCAAGGTTCCATATTTGGTGATTGTTTTTTTTTTTTGATAGAAGTGATATTGTGACCGATACTGATTTGTTGCAGAAGAATGCATAATTTTTGGGTATTTTTTGTTTTTGGTATAACACCTAAACTAAATCTCATAGGAACCTCCATTTTTGTGATATCAACTTCAAATTTGGAACATAACTTGTGTAGACATATGGCTTTGATTTAAAGGGATAGTTCACCCAAAAATGAAAATATACTCACCCTTAAGCCATCCTAGGTGTATACGACTTTCTTCTTTCAGACGAATACAATTGGAGTTATATTAAAAAATATCCTTGCTCTTCCAAGCTTTATAATGCCAGCTACACCTACGTCATCCGCAGGAATGAACGCTTGTACGACAGTTAGCGGAAGCTAGAGATTACGGTTTATAAAGCTTTAAATATGGATGTTTTTCTTACAAATACGCATCGATTCGCTTCAGGAGGCCTTTACTCACCCCCCGGAGCCATGTGAGACACTTTTTATTATTGATGGATGGATGCACTTTATTGGACTTCTTTTGGACTATTAAAAAAAAAAAAACACCCATTCACTGCCATTATAAAGCTTGGAAGATCCAGGACAATTTACAATTACTCCGATTGGATTCGTCTGAAAGAAGAAAGTCATATACACCTAGGATTCCAAAATGTTTTGTAAAATATTTATTTTAAACAAAATATAAAATGTTTAGCACAGTAAATTTTCTTTACAATAAATTTAAACTTCTATAACTTTTTTTTACACTTTCATTTTTTTTTTCACTTCCACTTCAGCATTCAATTATCTGCTGGGTGTCTTCTTTAAAAACAGATTCAGGTCTGATTCCAAAGCAATCATAAATTCAAAAAGGGGGTTAAGTATTAATAATTTGTGAGAAACCGTCTCGGTGCTATTACTGTAGGACAAAGTGTTATTGATTGCATGTGACTCATATGAACACAAAGTGTTTCTGTCACACAGTCTGAGTGCAGTACTCATGTTACATGTTGATTTGATTGCTGCTTCAGTTTGTGGTCAGTGATATCACAGTGTGAAATTGTGTCTGTGGTCTCATATTTAGATGAGCCTCTAATCTCGTGTCTCTTGCTGTGTGTTTGGTCTCTCTGTTAGAGCTCTGAGCGCTCTGGCCATGGTGCTGCTCAGTCCTGCCTTCACCATCCTCTACTGCGTCTTCATCTACCAGGAGCTCATCGAAGCGCCTGTCAGCGTCGGCGAGGGCTGGATGCTCTTCCTCTCGGTCATCTCGCAGGGCATTCTTGATCACGCTCTCTACGGATCACTCGTATATCCACTCTTAGCCCTTTTCATTTATCCCTGCTGGCTAATGTTCTGGAACATTCTTTTCTGGAGTTAACCGTTCTCAAATGTCTCGAGTAGCTTCCGATGGAGCTGTTTTTAAAAGAATGCCAATCATGAAGATTTATTGTCCATCTGTGGGCTTTATCTGCTGTTAGGGGTTGGCGTTGGGAAGATCTAGGACGATGTCAGGCCCAAAGAAAGGTCAGATAAAAAGGATTTAATGGTGTGGCTTCAGAGTACTTTAATCCAAGTGTTTGAGTTTTGGGGAAGGGGTTTGCATGAAGACACATGTAGGACAGAAATAATGAATTATTACAAGAAAGCAGAAATGTTCAAATTCAATATTGTTACCAGATGTGTGGACATAATGGTTCATTTTTTACCTTATTATAGTTTGCGCAGTTTGGCATTTTGAACTCTGGGGTTACTGGAAGCTTATATTTAATATGGTTTTATATTCGTAATTGTACAAAATGATTGTTTGTTAACTCAACTGAAATCACAAAAGGCAGAAACGAGAAGAACACTCGACCTTAAAGAGCAAGTTTCCAAGACTTTGATGCATTATTCAGTTTGTTTCAGGCAACACTGTATTCATATGCCCTGATGAATTATGCACATAGGTCTTTGATTATTAAATGTGAATAAAATATAAAAGTTTCCCCATTACTGCTGCTTATGTGTGTGCATTTATATTAAAAATCAAGCTTTCCCACATCTCAAGAGTTAATAAATTAATAATATTAATAAAACCTTAAGATTATGAAAACAACCATTTGAATACTAATACAAAATAAATTAATAACGTCCAAATGGTACGAGTACGAGTACAGGAGACCAGTATCGGGCCCGATACCGATACCAGTATCGGTATCGGTGCATCCCTAATATATAGTATAGTATAGTACTATACTATAGTATACCATGTATGTGTGTGTAGGTCATAAACAAGGACTGTGTTATGAGATGTAAGGGAAAAATATTTCTAATTAATCGGGATCAATAAAAACTATTTGGATCAAGTAACTGATTTGGGGGATTCTTTATAGACTTGTTCTCAGAGGTCAGACCAACACTCATCCAGCAAATATTCGTAATTGTACAAAATGATTGTTTGTTAACTCAACTGAAATCACAAAAGGCAGAAACGAGAAGAACACTCGACCTTAAAGAGCAAGTTTCCAAGACTTTGATGCATTATTCAGTTTGTTTCAGGCAACACTGTATTCATATGCCCTGATGAATTATGCACATAGGTCTTTGATTATTAAATGTGAATAAAATATAAAAGTTTCCCCATTACTGCTGCTTATGTGTGTGCATTTATATTAAAAATCAAGCTTTCCCACATCTCAAGAGTTAATAAATTAATAATATTAATAAAACCTTAAGATTATGAAAACAACCATTTGAATACTAATACAAAATAAATTAATAACGTCCAAATGTAATGTTATATTACTATATATAGTATAGTATAGTACTATACTATAGTATACCATGTATGTGTGTGTAGGTCATAAACAAGGACTGTCTGTGTTATGAGATGTAAGGGAAAAATATTTCTAATTAATCGGGATCAATAAAAACTATTTGGATCAAGTAACTGATTTGGGGGATTCTTTATAGACTTGTTATCAGAGGTCAGACCAACACTCATCCAGCAAATATTTAGTGAGAACGTCTATAGTCCATCGAGGGAGATTTCTCTTTTGGCCATATATAATACCCTAATACTGATCCGGCAAAACATTTAAACTATTCTAACAAACACACACGCACACACACACATAGTTTAGACGAGAGTTAACGCTGAAGCAGAGTAAAGCATAAAGTTATGACTATTTGAAATTTTGCGCTCTGGCTTGTGGTCCTTTCTGATTCCATTTCTTCTTTCCAACTCTATACTATACGAAATAAAGCTTAAAAAATTACTTAATATCCTAATGATTTTTGGCATAAAAGAAAAATGTATAATTTTGACCCATACGATGTATTGTTGGCTATTGCTACAAATATACCCCAGCGACTTAAGACTGCTTTTGTGCTCCAGGGTCACATATGTAACCTTGGTTCCCCAAATAAGGAACGTATTCTACTTGTTTTCTCGAATAGAAGCAAGTCTAGCGTGAGGTGATCATTCTCAACACGTGTAAATACATACGAGAGCTCAGATTAAGCCACAGAAACAGCTCCCGTGGTATAACACGTTTTAAACACTCACATGCAAATTCAAGCTGTCACAGATGAAATGTGAGTTTAAACGCACTAGGAAATATATGTGTATGCCTTACTTTGAAGCTGATAATAATGACATGATGGGATGATAATCTTGCTGTAAACTAGTTTTCAGGGCATAACATTTTTTTTTTCTTCTGATGAACACAAAGGAAGACATTTTGAAGAATGTGTAACCAAACAGTTTCTTGTCTACTATGTAAGTCACTGGGGACTGTTTGGTTATCAACATTCTTCAAAATATCTTCTTTTGGAACGACTTTGAAGGTTGAGTGAATGATAACATAACTCATTTTTTGGTTGAACTATCCCTTTAAGTGTTGACATTTCCACAGTAGTTATTCAAAAACGATGCACGCTTCTCACATGCTGTTCTTTTTCAATTAATGAACCGTTAAACATGCATGAAGAAACTCGAGATAAAAAAACGCCACTGGGTTAACAATTTCAATTATGAGAAGCCAGTGGAATTACAAGCAAGCATACAAGAAATAAATAAAAATGCATTTTGACTTGCCACCTTTAATAGATATGGATTTGATAGACACAATATGTTATAATAGGCTGTATCATAGTTTTTTTTTTTCTTTTCTTGAATGTTATGTTTTTGTCCAATCTCTCATAAACGCTGTTTTAAGAGGTACTCATGCAGAAGTGTTCTTTGGCAATGCTATGCTTGTTTAGTTTGGCTGTGCTGCTACAACAAACATTCTTCACAGTTAATACAAATCCGTTCAGGAATGTCATAAAAACAGGAAGCTGCAGCAACAAAACCCTTTATACTTGTGTGACCTACAAAACGTACGAAATAAAATAAGCAGCACTGGCTTAAAAAGGGCATAAAAATAGGTTTGGTGCATATATGAGACTTTTTTGAGGCCAAACAATGTGCTGGTTGTGCTGCAATAATATGCCTGTATTACACCGCATCTCTTCATCAAAGAGCATTTGGAGACAAAACATAGTGGTTTATTTTGTTAGACTATTTTAACATTTACATTTTACTACCACAGATTTGACAGACTTTTGTTAGCGTTAAATATAGAAAGAGAATACACTGACTTTAGTCATGGAATCCATTTTTTCACTGTATATATATATACAAATATATACAGTAGTCAGCATTTGAAGTGGATCAAAACCTTTCATCAAAGTTGTCCTAAAACCTAAAACCAAAATGATTTCTTGTTTTAGGACAACTTTAATGAACTTTTTTGATCCTCTTCAAATGTTGACTACTGTATATATATATATATGTGTGTGTGTGTGTGTGTGTGTGAGAGAGAGAGTGTGTGTGTGTGTGTGTGTGTGTGTGTGTGTGTGTGTGTGTGTGTGTGTGTGTGTGAGAGAGTGTGTGTGTGTGTCTGTATATATGTATTTATTTATTTTTTTTACTGTTTATTTACAATGTCTTTTTTTTTTACTCTCCTAATAGATTTTAAACTGATGTGGAAATATTCTAAAACTTGGTTACAAGTGTGCATTGTTATGAAAACTGCTGCATATGAATTTCAGTGTTATTATTGGCTGAATAAGGTCTTTGTTGGGGGTTTTGTCAGCTGATTTATGTTTCTTATGTTGTACAATCACATTTTGTGCACCTGATTGCATCAGCTTTCAGCTGGTTGGAAATCTCAAATCCTATTTGAAGGAATGGTTATTGTAGCTGGCATCTCCGGCTCCTGTACAATGGGCTTGTTGTTTAGTAAATGCTGCCATTGGCTGTAACAGGAGTCAAAGTTAGTCAGAGTAAACCTGTGCAAGAGTATAAAACCCCATAAACTCAGGGCTCTGCTGACGACCCGAGAAGAGCAAGCCGAGTCACAGACGCAACTGTCCCAGCAGAGATCATGGTTAGCCGGTAAGTGACTTTCTTTTTATTCTCAAGCTTTGACATATCTGGATGAACAGTATATTTTTGATTTATGCTGTCCTGTTTATGTCATTGGAAACATGTATGTAGTGAGTGATGTTGTAAAATGGCAAAATCTGTGCATTGATTATCTCAGATTTTCCATCCTTTGTATTTGAAAATTTAATTAAAGATTTTTTTCCTTCGCTTTTCAGTTTTGAACACCCTGCTGGAGGCTATAAGAAAATCTTTGAGACTGTGGAGGAGCTGAACGAACCTCTTCCAGCAACCGTCACGGGTATTTTCTTCTGTTTTCATGACTTTTTTGCCATATTCATTGAAAATATTATGGGAAAAAAATGACGTTCCTTTGTAAATGTATTTTAATATTATATAAATTCTTCTTGTTTTTTTATTATTATTTTTTTTTTTTACATTTATTTGTAACGGTGCACCTGCATTTTTTTCTAGATGTGCACTTGTTTTCTAGATTTTCAGTAGTATTCAATAGTACATTTCTGGAATCAGCTTGAGTTGCATTTAAACTGGAGCTGCTCATATGTACTAATCATCATTCTCCAGTGTATGGATAATCATAGTTCTGAAGAAAAACACTTGTGCATGATGTGCGTTGTTTGTAGGCCGCATCCCCTCGTTTATTAAAGGCAGTCTGCTCCGTCTGGGTCCCGGTTTGTTTGAGGTCGGATCGGAGCCCTTCTACCATCTTTTCGATGGCCAGGCCCTCATGCACAAGTTTGATTTCAGCAACGGACAGGTCACGTATTTCCGCAAGTACGTCAAATAATCTTCACGTTATTGTGTTGTTTCCTGCGCCAGTTACCTCTTTAAAAGAATACAATGCAAAACCTATCAGTGTTATTTTTGTATCATTGAGATATTATTATAGTTTTTATTAATGTTTTGAATCAGTTTTTTTATTCATTTCAAGTTTTAGTAATTTGATTTAATAATCAAATAATCGTTTTGTTATTGTGCTGCTCTCATCAGTGTTATTTTTATCATTGAGATACTATTATATTTTTGAATCAGGTTTTTATTTATTTAAATTGTACTTAAAGTTTTAGTAAATTTGTTTAATAATCAAATAATCTTTCAGTTATTGTGTTGTTTCCTGCTCCAGTTAACTCTTTAAAAGAAAATAATGCAAACGTATCGGTGCTATTTTAGTATCATTGTGATACTATTATATTTTTATTAATACTTTGTATCATTATTTTTCAATTCTAATTTTAGTTAAAGTTTTAGTAATGTTGTTTAATAATCTGTGTGTATTGTGTTGTTTCCTGCTCTATTCAACTCTTTAAAAGAAAATAATACAAAACGTATCAGTGTTATTTTAGTATCAATGAGATACTATTATAGTTTTTATTAATATTTTGAATGTTTTTTTTTTTTCATTTTCATTTTAGTTAAAGTTTTAGTTATTTTGTTGTGTTTTTGCTATTTTTATAGTTTAGTTTTTAGTAGTTTAGTAGTATACAGTGTGTATTCAAAATATAAATCTTTTCTAACAATATAAATCTTTGCTATCGATTCTTAACAATGTAACA